CACGGGGAGCCGCACCGCGCCCTTACACGTGCCCGGTGCCGTTATTAAGATGCATGGGGCTGCTCGGTGCAACTGGTGAACCGCCCGGTGCAGTGACCGCAACGCCCGGTGCAATAAATGCAATGCCCGGTGCCATAAGCGCAACGCCCCGTGCAACAACTGCCTGCAGCAATTACTGAAATGCCCGGTGCAACCAGTCGCAGGCCCAGCGCAACCACTGATGTGCCTGGTGCAATCAGGGAAAGGCACCCAAAAGTTTGCAAAATGCTTCATGCACGTAAGGGGGGACACACGGTGCAATTATTAAGATGCACGGGGCGATGCGTGGGCTGCCCGGTGCAATGCACAGTGCAATCAACGAAGCATCTGGTGCAACTAGTGAAATGCACAGTGCAACTAGCGACGTGGTGGGAAAGGCTGCTGAAATGCTCGGTGCAATTAGGGAAATGCGTGCTGAAGGTTGCAAAACGCCTCATGCAATTAAGTGAGATGCACAGCGCCACCCCGAAGACGCACGGGGCGATCGCTGGGCCGCTTTCGGTGCAATTGGGGGGGGCTGCCTGGTGCAACTAGCGACGTGCCCGGAGCAACTCCTCAAAAGCCTGGTGCAATCAGGAAAATGCACGCTCAGGTTTGCAAAACGTTTCGTGCCGTCAGGGTGACGCGGGTGGCAGTTACTGAGACGCACAGGGCGACCAGCGGGCGGCGCGCTGCAACTGGCGAGGCACCGGTGCATTAAGTGCAACGCACACTGCAACGAGGGAAACGCCCGCCGCAATCAGCAGGGCACCCAGGGCAATTAGTGCAATGCACCCTGAAGTTTGCAAAACGCCTTATGCGACCAGCGAGACACCCAGCGCAATCAGTGCTGTGTCTGGTGCAGTTAGTGTCACTCCTGGTGCAATTAGTAAAATGCCCGATATAATTAATGACACGCCTGGAGCAATTAGTGAAACGCAGAGCGCAGGAGTGCAACACTTGGTGCAATCAGCAACGCGCCTCGTGCCACCAGTGACGCGCGCGGCGCAACGAACGCAATGCAACGTGCAACGAGGGGAACGCGCAGGGCGACTGGCACGGAGAAAGGCCGGTGCACGACGCCGTGGGCGCAAGGTGCAGGACGTTCGGCGACCAGCAGGTTCTGCAAAACGCCAAGTGCTTCAGGGGACGACCCAAGCGCGTGCAGCAAAATGCATCGCGTGCGACACCCGATGCACCGGGCGGTTTGCAAAGCGCTCGGCGAAACCCCGGGGTGCCTTTAAAGCCGCGCTAAAACCAAAATCTCCCCGGGGCTCATTTTGCCTCTCCCGGCCAAACAGCGTGCAGGCGCTGGAGGAAACCAGCCCTGAAGCCTGGAGAGCCTCAGTTGTCCAATTTGGGTGGAATTGCCCCCCAAAAGCGACTGGCCTGGGTTTTGCCGGCCGTACCTTCGTGCGAGCAGTTGTTGTTGAAGGCAGGGGAGAACGCACGCAGCTCACGCAGAAGGATGGGCTCCGTGCCCCCGCCTTCGCCTTCAGCATCGGCCTCGGTTTCCTCCTCCTCCTCCTCTTCCTCATCCTCATCCCCCTCGGGGTCGGCCTCAGGGTCAGGCGAACTCTGCATCAGCTCCTCCAGCTCCTCGATGACCTGCAGGCCACCAGCGTCCTCCGTCTGCACCTGCAGCCTACCTCCACCTTGCATCCACCCCCCTGAAGCCCCCAGCTCCAGCCTGCATCGGCACGCTGCATCCGTCCCCCGCGCATCTGCAACCTGCTCCCTTCGTCCTCCAACCTGCACCTCCCATCTGTCTCAGGATCCTGCATCCTCCACCTGCCACCTGCTCCCTTCATCCTCCACCTGCGTCTTCCACCCGTCTCAGCATCCTGGACCCTGCATCCCACAGCCCACATCCTCCATTTCATCCCTCATCTGCAGCCTGCTCCTTTCATCCTCCCGCCCTGTATCTTCCACCTGTCTCGGCGTCCTGCATCCCGTATCCTCCACCTGCATCCTGCTCCCTTCATCCTCCACCTGCACTTGCAGCCAGCTGTACCCTGCGCCCGCCATTTGCATCCTGCACCCGCCCCCCACCTGCCCCCAAATCAGTCCCACGTTCCCACTCACACCCTGGACCTGCACCTACACCTAACTCCGCATCCCGCACCGATGTCTGCATCCTGCTCCCCTCACCCTCCATCCTCCACTGGCATTCCAGATCCTGTACTTGCACCCCGCATCCCATCTCTGCCCCCCCGCCCCCCTTTTCAGCCTTCATCCCGTGCCACCCCTGCACATCCAGCACCCACACCCCACGTTCCCATCTGCACCCAAAGCCCACGTCGGCGCCCACAACCTGCACCTCCACCCACATCCAAATCTGCATCCCATCCCTCGCATCCCACATCCCGAGATGATGGAATTTGGCTTTTTGGGGGGGCTTTGGCGCTGGAGTGGGCTGAGGCTTGGCTTTTGGGGGCCACGCAGGCGTTCGGGTGCCCGCACCCACACCCCACGTTCCCATCTGCACCCAAAGCCCACGTCGGCGCCCACAACCTGCACCTCCACCCACATCCAAATCTGCATCCCATCCCTCGCATCCCACATCCCGAGATGATGGAATTTGGCTTTTTGGGGGGGCTTTGGCGCTGGAGTGGGCTGAGGCTTGGCTTTTGGGGGCCACGCAGGCGTTCGGGTGCCCCAGGGGTACCTGCTCAGCTGTCAGGAGCGGCTCCTCGTTGATGCCCGAGTCTTGCTCACTCCTCTCAGTGAGCTCCTCCTCCTCCTCCTCCTCCTTCTCGCAGAGCTGCAGGAGACACAGGCTGGGCGGCCTTGGTGGCACCGCAGGCCCAGCCCGGCCCGGGTATGGCCCCAGCATGGACACAGACATGGCCCTGGCCCTGGGAGAGCCACCAGGGAACCACAGCTCAGGGGGACACGCTGCATGGAAGGGGGGGTTGCATGGGGAGACATTGGATGGAGACATGGATGGGGATGTTGGACAGGGAGACATTGGATGGGGAGACATTGGATGAGGGCATTGGGTGGAAATATTGGATGGGGATGTTGGATGGAGACACTGGATGAGAACACAGGACAGAAGGATGTCGGACAGGGATGCTGGGTAGAGATGGATGGAGATGTTGGGTGGGGCAATGCTGGACAGGGATGTTGGATGGGACTTTGGATGGGGACTTTGCAGAGGGACACTGGATGGGGCTGCTGGAGGCGCTGGAGAAGGAGATGATGGACATGGAAGCGTTGGGTAGGGAGGTGCTGCAAGGAGACGGCTAGAGACCTTGGATGGGGAGACATTGGCTGGTGAGCTGTTGGATGGAGACATTGGACTGGGAAGGTGGACAGGCGGAAGTACAGGTCTGTTGGATGGAGATGCTGGATGGAGAGACGCATGAATTAACATATTTGGCATATTGGGATGGGGAGGTGCTGGAGATGCTGGGTGGAGATGGTGGGGATGTTGGATGGGGAGACTGATGGATGGTGACACTAAACAGGGAAGAGGTCAGATGGAGATGCTGGATGGGGAGATACCAGAGGGAAACGCTGGATGGGGAGGTGATGGATGGAGATGTTGGACAGAGAGGTATCTTTCTTTACCACCTTTCACAGACTTATTTCACCTTTTCAGCAGAAAATAACTCACAGAATTTATCTTCTCTTTCCCCTTTAGGTTGTGTAACATCCAAATGGGTTAAATTCAGTGGATTTGGGGGCATCTTTGCAGCCTTCCCACAACCCCAAACACAGCTCTTACCAGCGTGAACTCACCACAATAAAGAAAACACTATTTTCTACCCCCAAAACCCACACAACCTCACCGCTGGCTTGGGGGCAAATTAGCAAAAAACAAGATTGCCAAACCAAATGCTTAATCTTGCCCCTTTCGGGGTGATTTCACCCTAAAATGTAAACATCCATTGTGTTGGTGCTGTGTCACCCCCAAAATACCATTTTGGGGTGTTTTGCAGTGGTTGTTGAGCCTTGGGGCTGACTGACAAGCTGTTGAGCATCACCAAGGGGTCATGCAGGGACAGGGTGGTTCGGGGGTGTCAAGGGGGAGGCCAGAGCCATACCTGGGTGTCGGAGCCATCGGGAGCCTCAGTCCCGGGGAGCAGCCAGGGCCGGGGGGAGCCCCGGGGGGCAAAACCATCGGTGAGAGCATCCCAGACCCTGCAGGGAGATGGGTGGTGAGCAGCAATCCCAAAATGTTGCCTCCCAGAAGGTCGTCCCAAAATGCCTCAAAACACACCAAAATGCAGCCCCGGAATCACCCTGCAATGCCACCCCCCCAAAATCCCAAAACACCACAGAGATGCCCGAACAGTCTCAAAACACCCCAAGTGATGTCCTAGAAGTCCCCAAACGCTGCCCTAGAAGACTCCAAAGCTTCTCAAAATATCATCAGGAAATACTGCCCTGAAATAACCCCAAAGTACCCCAAAATGGTGCCCCAGCACTTGAGATGCCCCCAAATGTCACTCTGAGACATTGCCATCAAAATACTCCCCAAAAGGCCACTGCAATGTCCCAAAATGTCTCCAGTTGCCCCAAAAGACCACCCTGAAATGCCCCAAAACATCCTGAAATGCCCCCAAAGCCCCAGAAACGCCCCAAAATGCCATCCTAAAACACAGTAGCCCAAAGCCCTAAGACCCTCTGAAAGACCCCAAAACACCTCAAAACACTGCCCTGGAACACCCTAAAATGCCCCTAAACGTCCCACAGCTCCAAAATGCACTGAAATGTCCCCAAATGCCATCCTGAAACAGCCCAAAATGCCCCCAAAAGCCACAACGCTCCAAAAATGACATCCTGAACTGCTCCAAAGCATCCCAAAACGCCACCTTTGAACACCCAGAAGTACCCCCAAATGACATCCTGAACCACGGCCCAAAATGCCCCAAAATGCTTCCCCAGAACACCCTGAAACATCTCAAAACGTTGTCCCAGAACACCATTCCCAAAAGCTCTCAAATGCTCCAAAATATGGCCCTGACACCCCCAAACACCCCAAAACACCACTGAGAAAGTCCCCAAATGCTGTCCTGAAACATTGCCTGGAAACACCCCAAAATACCTCAAAGAGCTGCCCCGATACCCCACAGAAACACCCCAAAATGCTGCCGTGATGCTCCAGAACATTCCCCAACCGGTCAATGCCCCAAAATGCCTCTGCAATGCCCCAAATGCCTCAAAACTCCCCAAAATGGTGTCCTGGAACATGCTGAAATGCCCCAAAATGCAGTCTCAGCATCTCCAAAATGCCACCCTGAAACACTCCAAATCGTCGCCTCAAAACAGCCCTGAAACCCCCCAAAACTGCTGTAAATCACCCCACAATATAGCTCTGGATCACTCAAAAATGCTGCCCTGAAAAACACCCTGAAACCCCCCCAAAAAACAGCTGTGATGCCCCAAAACCCCTCAAAACCTCCCAAAATACAACCCTGAAACACCTGGAAACAACCCCAAAACTGCCCCAAATCACCCCAAAATACCCCAAAAGTGCCCTGAACCCCCCCAACCCCCCTCCTCTGAGACACTGCTAAGGGTGCCCTATTCCTCCCTGCAAGGCTGGACCAATTTTGCCCAATTTCCCCCCAAAAAAGGTGCATGATGGATGGTGGGGGGAACTGGGGGGAAAAGTGGGGAGAAAAAGGGGGAAAAGTGAAAAAAATGTGAAAAAGTAGTGAAAAAGGTGGAAAAAAAAGGGAAAATGGGGGGAAGCGGGAAAAGGGGGAAAAAGGGGTGAAAGGGGGGGAAAGAGGGAAAAGTGAAAAAATGTGAAAAAAGGGGGGAAAGGAAGGAAAACGGGGGAAAAGGGGGAAGGGAAAAATATGAAAAACCAGGAAAAAAGCGGTGGGAAGGGGAAAAAGGGGGAATGGGGGGAGAAAATGGGAAAATATGGGAAAAAAGTGAAAAAATGTGAAAAAGGGAAAAACAGAGAAAAGGGGGGAAGAGGGAAAAGGGTTGGGAAATGATGAAGAGGGGGAAAGGGGAAAAACCTGAAAAAAAAAGGGGGAAAATGGGAAAAATGTGAAAAAATGGGGAAAATGGGAAAAAAGTGGAGAAAAGGAGGAAAAAGGGGGAAAACAGAAGAGGAGAAAAGACAAGAAAAAAGTAAAGAAGGAAAAGATGAGGAAAAAAGGGGGAAAGTGGAGAAAAGTGGGGAAGGGAAAACGGGGTAAAAGAGGGGAAATAGAAGAAAAAATGAGAAAGCGCGAAAGAAGGAAAAAGGAGGAAATGGGAGAAGAAGAGAAAAAGGGAAAGATGGGAAATGGGGGAAAGGAGGAAGGAGGAAAAGGGGTAAAAGAGGGAAAAAGGAAAAAATGGGGGGAAAAGGGGAAATGGGGAAAAAAGAGAAAAAATAAGAAAAAAGAGAGAATGAGGGGGAAAATGGGGAAAAAGGTGGGAAAGTGGACAAAAAAGGAGCAAAGGAGGAAGAAAAAAAATGGGAGAAACGAGCTGAAAAGTGACGCCATCAGGCAAAAGGTCAGAAATAGAAAGAAAGGTCAAAAATGGAGAAAAAGGTCAAACACGGGGAAAAAGGTCAAACATGGGGAAAAAGGTCAAACATGGGGAAAAAGGCACCAAAAAATTCCTCTCCAAACAAGGCAAACCCACCCATTTTCCCACCACAAATGGCCCTTTCAGCCCAACATGGTGCAACATCCATGCACACCCCGAATTCCCTCTATATCACCCCAAAACCGCCTGCCCCCCTCCCAGCGCCAAAACCGCTCATTTTTGGGTAACAATCTCCTCTTCCTCCTCACCCGATCTTAATTCCCCTCTAAATCACATATTTCTCAAATTAACGCACAAAAACATCCATGTCAGCCCCCCCACTATTTTCCCATTTCTAACAAACTAAGGAAAAAATAAGTGATTATCCCCCAAAAGTTGCGCCTTTTTTCTGCTCTTAAAGGGCCAGCACCCTGCAGGATCAAGCAAGCAGCAGCAGCAGATTTTTGGGTTAATTATGGCAAGAATTGGTTAATAATTAGGGAAATACAGCGCCTTTAAGGCCCCAGCCCATCCCCCGCCTGTGCACACAGGGCTCATTCAGGAGGGAGGGAAAAAAAAAAGCCCTGTTTTGCCCAAAGTGACCCAAAAAGACACAATAACCAGCACAAAGCGACGCAGCGAGCCAGCTGCCGGCGACAGCGCGGCGCTCCCGGCACGGGGCCAACACGCGTTTTTCTCAGAAAAACCATCGATTTGGCCAATTATGAAAAGCAATTCGGCCTTAGTGGGTTTTGGTGGGGAAAAAAAAAACCAAACCAACCCGAAAATAACCAGATTTTGGGGGGTTTTAGGTCAAAACCAACCACTCCGCATGGTGAAAAATGAGTGTTAGGACTGGCAGCCTGGGAAATAATCGAAATTAAACACCAAAAAAATCCATTACAAAGGCACTAATGCACATATACCGCTGAAAAAATACATAAATTTGGCCAAAAAAGGGCATTTTGCAACCAAAAATAAAGGTTTTTAATGAAAATTCAGATTTTTAATGCAAATGCCACTACATTGTGGCAGGGCTGGGGGGATTTTGCCCCAGATTAGCTGCCTCCCAGCTTGGGGCAGAGCTTGCACATTGCAAGCAGGAGGCTAAGCCCTACTCAAACCTTACTCCAGGTTTACACTCGCCCCACCCTGGGGGCTCTCCGCACGTAGTCTGAGCCTGCTGTGACCCCCTGCAATGCGACACGGGGCACCCCGCTGTGCCTCCTCGTAGGATGCTACACAGCTCCTCCGAGGATCCTACACAGCTACTCCACAGATGCTACACAGCTCCTCCGAGGAGCCCACGCAGCTCCTCCAAGGTGTGGCACGATCGTGCCACAGCGCAGGCGGCTGATTTGCACGTGGTGGGGAACCTGCAAGCACCCGGGGAGGTGCAATAGGCCTCAGCGGGGCATTACTCATAGGATACTACACTGCTACTCTGTGGTGTAACACAGCCACGCCGCAGTGGGGTAGGCCAGTCTGCATGCCACAGGAGGGGGTGTATCTCATGACCATGCAAGGAAGCATGCAGGCCCAAGGGTGGCTTACTCATAGGATCCTCCGCAGCTACTCTAAGGATCCTACACAGCTACTCCATGCTGCTGCATGACTACACTGCACTGCAGGGGTCTGAGCTGCATGTAGGGTGTACCTTGTAGGCATGCAAGGCAGCATGCAGACCCCGAGGGAGTCCTTACTCACAGGATACTACAGCGCTACTCCTGACATGGCGCACAAGCATGCCGCAACGCAGGGAGCTGGTCAGGGAAGACTCACAAGGGTGCAAGGAGGCACGTCGGCTGTGAGGGGGACTTACTCACAGGTTACTACCCCGCTGCTTGGATGTGTTGCACGACCGCGCTGCAATGCAGGGAGCCAGTTTGCACTGGGGGGGGGCAAGGGGTGCACTTTGCAGGCGTGCGAGGAGGCCCGAGCCCCCAGGAATAGGGGGGGGGCCTTACTCACTCCTCATCCTGGAGGCGCTCCTCCTCCTCCTGCGCCTGGAGACGCCCCCGCACGGGGGCCAGGCCCTCGGTGGCAGCGTCGTAGTTGCGGAAGCAGACGGTGAGCTTCTCGTCGAACTCCTGCACCAGGTCCTCCATCGACTTGAAGCTCATCATCTCGGCCGAGAAGCTCTCCAGCTCGGCCAGCGCCGGGTCCGCAGCGCGTTGCGGGGTCCCCCCATCGTCCCCGGGCCCCTCCTCAAACTCCTCCTCCAGGCTTACCAGGGGCGCCTCCATCCTCCTCAGTGCCGACACGCCGCCTTAGCTGCTGGGAGAGGGGGCCCGTGAGGCACCGGGCTACTCACGGGTTACACCGCCAGGGCCCCCCGTTCCTTCTGCTGCCACCGTGCTGGCTGAAACCCTACTGCCGGGGCTATTATACGCCCAGCAGTATCTCTGTGGTATCCTAGTAGTATCCCAACAGCATCTTAGTACTGTCTTCAACGCATCTTAGCAGTGCTATAGAAGTATGCTGATATCCTGACACTGTACTAGTAGTATTTTACTAGCAGCAACAAGGTAGTAGCCAAACCTGATAGTATATCAAAAGTATCGTAACACCACCTTTTTTTACTGAATTGGGAGTTTCCAGTAGTATCCTTATACGTCATTACCCTAGTAGTGGCCTGAAAGTATCATACTAGAACCAGTAACATGCTGACAGTATCCTAAGAGTTTGAATGTTGCTCTGATAGTATCGTAGAAGTATCTTAGCACTACCTTTTCTAGTGCCCTTGTAGCATCTCAGAAATATCCCATGATATCCTACTAGCATCCTGACAGCATCCTACTAAAAAATGAATATCCTGATAACGTTTTAGCAGCATTGTGATAATATCCCGATAGTATCATAGCAGTACCCTGATACTTAGTAGGATCCTAGTAACAGCCCTGTAGTATCTTAGTAGTGCCTCAACAGTAAGCATCTCAGTGTTATCTTTGGAGTGTCCAGGAACCACCCTGAAAACATCTCAGCAGTGTGCTGATAGTACCTTTGTGCTACACTGAGAGTATCCTAGTAGCAGCTATTGAATAGCTTAGCATTGCTCCGATGGTGTACGAGCACAGGTAGTAGTATCCAGATACTATGCCAGGAGCATCCCAATAGCATCCTAGTTACATCCTAACAGTGCCCTGATAGTATCACGGTGGTATATGAGCAGTGTCTGATAGGATCCTAAAGGTGTTATCATGGACTATAGCTACTACCTTGGTAGGACAATGTACTAGCCAGATACTACCTTAGTGCCATGTTACTATGCTGAAAGCATCTCAACTGTATCTGTTGAGTATCCTGAGAGTACCCTGATGGTGTGTTAGCACTACTCCAGTGGTACCTTCGTAATAGTATCTCAGTATCAACCCTGGGAAGATGCCAGAAATACCTTAGTAGTATCCTGAGAGCATCCTGGTAGTGCCCTAGTAGTACCTTAGAAGCGGTCTCACATAGTATCCCAGTAGCATCCACACAGTATGTCAGGGCCACCCTGCGAGTGCCTTAGTGTTAGCAGAGTAACCTGACTGCATTTTAGTAAACTGATAGCATCTTACTAGCATCCCAGTAGTATCCTGAGAGTATCTCAGCTGTGTCTTCATAGCATCTCACTACTCCCTCACAAGGTTACTGAGAGTACCCCGGTAGTATCTTACCCTCAGAGGAAGCAAATAGTAACCCAGTAGCAAGCCAGGAATAACCCAGTAAAGGCCCCACTGCCCAACGCCCTCACCCAGCCCCCATCACGCCTCCCCTGGGGAGCAGCGCAGAAACACCCGGCAGCTTTTGGGGGAACAACCCGGCCAGAGTGGGGCGCTGCGCCCTGCCCCCCTGCCTGCACCCCCACCCTGCACACCCGCACCCGCACCTGCGTGCAGCACTGGGTGTGCATGAACCTCCACAGCTCTGCAGCACGCATGCCTGCACCCCTGTGCATGCACGCACGCAACCCCCCCGTGTCTACGGGGTGCACGTACATACACCCCTGTGCACGGTGCACGTACATACACCCCTGTGCACGTGCACTTGAGCGTGAACGCATCCACGGTGCACGTGTGCAAGGGGTGCAGAACCATGCACGTACATACATCGTGCATGCTGCACCCCGTGTGTGTGCACTCTGCAGGGACGCACCCTGTGCCCGCCTTCACCTCTGCACGTGCGCTGTGCTGTGCATGCGTGCAGAGTGCATGCACACACAGCAGTGCACGCGTGTGGGGGGTGTGTGTGTGCAAGGCGTGCGTGCACGCAGAAGTGCATGCATGCATGCGTGCTCAGGTGGTGATGCGTGTAGGGGTGCGCCCATCCACAGGGGTGCAAGTGCACACATGCACCTCTGGATGCATGCACCCCTCTGCATGCACCGTGCAGGTATGCACCTAGTGCATGCGCGTGCACTGCTGTGTGTGCATGCATCCCTCCACATGTACCGTGCAAGCATGCACCTAGTGCACGCGTGAACCACTGTGCATGCATGCATCCCACTCTTCCCCCCGGACACCGTGCATGCACCACGTACCCCAGCATGCCAGCACCACTCACAGACACCCCCCGCCCGGCACCCCCAAACGCAAGCCCCCCATTTGCATGCACACACCCGCACTGCGCATGC